GGCACACGAGAGGGAGGGCGTTGCAGGAGGTGGTTAATGCAAATGTGACTGCTCGCACGCCTGCCCAGCCGCATCAGTTAGCCGATAGGGCCATGCGGAAATGGGAGAATATCTGGACGATGCATGATGTTGCCGCCCCGCAGTTGCCAGCAGAAGCGAAGGACTGGGAAGAGCTCCCACCTTTGACTGTGCTAGAGGTGCAGCGCGCCATTCTTCAGTTTCCATGGGCGACGGGAGTCGGCCAGTTTAGCTTCGCACCCCGCAGTCTTATGTTCCTGAGCAATTCAGGCCTGGCGGCCGTTGCCAAGCTATTCACGAAGTGTGAAAGTCTCTTGATCTGGCCATCTTGTAGACTGCTGACGCAGCTAGTTCGCCTCCCCAAGGCGTCAGGGGGATGCAGATTGATAGCGCTCTTGAACACGCTTCTGAGAGTCTGGGGTAGAGCCCGCAGGCCCATAGCGGCCGCCTGGGAGGTCGAGCACGACCTCGAATGTTTCTGGGGGGCGGGAGCTGGTAGGTCGAGCTCGGACAGCGCGTTTTCTTTGAATCTTGATGCTGAGATAGCGCACGAGATAGGAGAGGACAGCCTCACAGTCTTTACCGATATGCTGAAATGCTATGAGACCGTCATCTTGCAGAGCCTGCTTCACGAGGCTAGGCTGAATCAGTTCCCGATGAGATTAGCATGGATGACGATTCAGACATACCTGCAACCTCGCTGTCTGCGTGCCTTTGCTTCACTGTCTGTGCCAGTACAGTCCAATCAGGGTATCCTAGCAGGCTGTTCTTTGGCCACTACAATGCTTCGGGTCCTTTTGCATAGAAGCCTGCAGGATAGCATGACTATATACCCCACGGTCAAGCCACGAGCGCTGATCGATGACGTGAGCTTCCACTGGACTGGTGAACGGGCCAGGGTGGGAGAGCACGACGGTCAGGCTAGAGACTTGGCCAATGCAGTTCACAGCTTTTGCCTTAGCGTGAGGCCGCTAGGGTTAGTAGTCCAGCCGAACAAGTTAGGGTTCGTTGCGAACACGACTCGAGGTCGAGATATATTCGCTCGATTAGTCAAGCCTCGTCGAATGAGAGCGAAGCGAGCGATGCGCAACTTAGGGCACGAGATGCACGGCACTAGGGTCTTGCGTGTACAAGAAAAGACGCGTCTTAAGAATCTCACGGCTCGTAGGCGCAAAGTGTGGGGATTGAAGCGCGCCGCGGGGGAGGCCGTGAAATCCTTGTGGAGGACGGGGCTCCTCCCAGCTGGCGGCCATGGCGCTGGAGTGTCTGGGATATCCGACACGGCGATTCGAGAACTTCGGACGTTCGCTGGAGGCATGTGCGGGGCCAAGCCCAAGGCGTCGCTCACCCTGTTTTTAGCAACGCAGCGAGACGACAGGTTCGACCCTATTTTTGATGCGACGGTTCCTCTGGTGGTTAGGTTTGCTTCGTTCATCTGGGACAATAGGGTCGCGCCTGGACAGCTCCGTAGAGCTTGGGATGTGGTCAAGGCCAAGCTCGACCATCGCACCTCGTGGACCAGAGCTCGTGGCCCCATCGCCTCTGTTTGGGGCACGCTTCTGCGAGTGGGTTGGACGATGTTTTCTCCAACAGTGCTTGTGGACGATCGAGGTCGCCACGTCGATTTAGTTAGGAATTGTCCAGGTGATGTGAAAGCCTTCTTGGAGGAGGGCCTTCGCCGCTGGCAGGTAGATAGGATCCTTCAGCACCTTCCCAACAGCCTTGGAGAGAGCTGCTGGAGGAGGGGAATGCGGAAATCAGTTCTTGCAGTGAAAGATGTTGCGAGGCGAGGCGCCTTGCGAACGCTTTGGTCGTCGGGAGTTTGGACCCCCGAGCGGTTGCACAGCATAGGTCTTCGCAGTTCCCCGCAGCGTTTCGTGTGCAAGCAGGCGATTGGCAACGAGTCCCATCAATGGTTTGAGTGCGAAGCCATGTTAGAAGGATTGGACGTGCCAGTTCCCGATAGTGTCCTCGAGCTTAGGACGGCCATCAAGGCCAAGAATATTTCGCAGTCTGGAGCGGATCAATTTTATCTCAGCTTCGGTTTGCCGCCTGAGCCGCCAGCGCTGTCGCCCCCGAGCGACGTGTACCCTGTGATGGGATGGGGGGACTGGCGCGGGCGATGGGGGCGGAGGGTGTTCACGGACGGAAGCGGCCAAGCGTCGTCGATACCAGAGCTGGCCCGCTGCGGCTGGTCAGTGGTAGAAGTCGACGATGCGGGCAATGTTTTGCGTGCAATTTTTGGCGCGCTCCCAGGAGCGGTACAGACGGTGCCGCGAGCGGAGCACTACGCAGCGCTCAAAGCAGTTGAAGTTGCGCAGCAGCCAGCGATTGTCGTGTCAGATCACCTGAATCTGGTGCGAGAGGGGTGTGCTTGGTCGGAGGCAGCTGCCTCCTCTTGTGGCCGTCACGCTGCGGTGTGGGAAAAAATTCGCCGGATCTGTTCGGAGGCTCCTCCTACCTTCGAGTGGGTCCCTGCCCACAGAGATCTCTCGGCTGTATTGGAGGCCCCGGATTGCGATTTTGTCCGTTTCGTTGCAAACGAGTGGGCTGACTTCTTCGCCAAGCGTGGGGCTCTGGTGCACTCTACAGGCCAGACCATGCAGGACTATTATAAGCAAGCCATGAAGGCGGCCAAGGACCATTCCCAAGTGTTTGCATGGATGGCCCAAGCAGCCGCCAAAAAGAATGTGGAGCTCCAGCCAAGGGAAGGGGAAGTTGTGCCGTCTCAGGTCTGTCGTGTCGTCACCACCCCCCTGGTTGTGCTGGACTCGCATGAGCTTCGGCATTGCGAGAGCCTGTCTGAATACAGGTGCCTGAATTGTAACAGGTTCGCGAGGACTCCCGACTCCTTGAAGGCCCTTCAAGCGAGGCGATGCGAGCCCACGGATCTCCTGCGAGCGATGGCGACGCGTTATTTCGCCCTCACCCCCGAGCGCTATCGGCACGCCTCACTTGCGGTGGACGCCGCCGTGTGCGCTGCTGGCCTTGATGAAGGCCCAGGGCCCCCTGGAGGCCCGCTTCTGGGAGGGGGAGTGGGGGCTGACGTCGTCGCCGTCGGGGTCGATCGGGAGGTGGAATTGTATTCGGAACTTGGCCACGGTGTGGAGCGTTTCGGCTCCACGGTCATCTGCCTCTGCTGTGGGGTTTTCAGTGTGGCTGGAGGCCGCAACCGCAAGCTGCGTGCCCAGTGCAGGGGGCATTCGGACGTAGCTTCCACGCGTGCGAACGAGGAGATGCAGATCTCCCGTGCGTTGCGCGGGCTGCACCCCCGATCGGGGGACCCTTGCCCATGATGCCCTCGACGCCAGGTCTCCTCCGTCGGCCTTCCGACGCGGCGGGGACGGCGCTGTCGAGGACTAGCGGCACGGTGCGATGGCTCGTGGCCTCGCCGCGTTGCTTCCAACTTCCTTCCCGCTGAAGCGGGTCCGTACGCTCGGATTCGCTCTTCATCGCTCGCTGCCTCCTCCTCCTCCTCTTCCTCCTCCCCGTCCTCCTCCTCCTCCTCCTCCTCCTCCTCCTCCTCCTCCTCCTCCTCCTCCTCCTCCTCCTCCTCCTCCTCCTCCTCCTCCTCCTCCTCAATCCTCCTCCTGACTCCTCGTCCTCATCCCCGTCCGTCAAGCCCTTTTACACCCACGAGGATCGATTTCAGTAGGCTCCAGATCCCCTAAACTTTGTATGCACTTACGCGGTCATAGTATGTTACGAAACTTCCTCACGTCAAGCTGGATAGATTCCTAAGTTTCGATGCATAATTCCCAAGAGCTGGTCCAGCGTCTTAACGCTGGCCTTCTGCAGGTTGATATGTTGGCTGTTGATGTATACATACATACATGCATGCATACATACATACATACATACATACATGCATGCATACATGCATGCATGTGAACATACAGGTTTATATATATATACATACATGCACACACAAAACTGCATTGGCGCTTCGCGCCGTGCGCCTTGTTCTGGACGCTTCCCCGGCAAAGCAATGAATCATCGCTTGCTTCAGCAGGGGAGACCTCGAGGCCCGGACGGGCGACCAGCTCATTTTTCTGATATTCTTGGTGCTTGCTGTCACCGCGTTCGCCCGATGCGCTTGCACGCTTGTGCACAGGAGTGGGGAATGATGGTTTTTCCACGCGCGAGGGCGTTGGCAAACGACGAAACATTAAATTGTTGCGATGGTGGCACTTGCCCATGAACGGGGAACGGGAAGGGAGCAGGTTCGGAGCAGGGATGAAGGGGGGTTGACGAGGCGGAAAGGGGGAAGAGGGGGGAGATCTGCGTCTCTCGATCGAGGAATTCAAGCCTCGAGCCCCACGCGTGGAACCAGAATCTTCGGGCCACTTCGATGTACTTCGTAGGAGAACGCCGTCTGTTTTGGGTCGTCCTGGGGCCCTCTTGGGCCGTCCTGGGGCCTTCTTGGGCCGTCTTGGGGAGCTGGGGCCCTCCAGAGGCAATCATAGGGTTCTCTTTGGGGCCTCCAATGGCCTTCTTGGGGGTCTCCCATGGCTTGCGTGGGTTTCGTGGGAGCCTTCTGGGGGCATCTTGCGCTTCTCGTGGTTCTTGGGCCGTCCAAACCCTCTGGGGGGCCTCTTGGGCCGTCTTGGGGCGATATCGGGGGCCCATCGGGCCGTCTTGGACGCTGTGAAGACCCCAAAAGCGGATATGCTGAAAATATGTGTTCCTAAGGGAATGGAACGATTGTTGCTTCTTCGGAGCTCCCTTAACGCCCTCTCGGGGCGTCTTGGTTGCCTCTTCGGCCGTCTTCAGATTATCGAGGTTCCTCTTGGAGCGCTCTTGTGCTGTCTTGGGTTTTTCGTGCGCTTTCCCGATGACCCTTTTGATCGCCGCGAGTCTGCTCGCAAGGCCCGGCAAAGCGCCTTGAGAGCCCGGAAGACGGCGACGACAACGACGACGACGACGACGACGGCGACGGCGACGACGACGACGACGACGACCGCGAAGACTTCCCGTGTTAGGACTTGCTGATTCAGGCACAGCTCCAAGCACACCCTCGCAGGAGGGGCTGGCCGCTGGGAGGGCGACGGCGTCGCCGCCGCCGTCCAGGAGGAAAAGGAGGAAAAGGAGGAGGAGGAGGAAGAGGAGGAGGAGGAGGAGGGGGCGGAGCAAGGACAAGCAGGAAGAGGAGGAGGAGAAGGAGGAGGAGATGGACAGAAGGGAAAAGAGAAAGGGAGGGGGAAGAGAAGCAAAAGGAGGAGGAGGAGGAGGAGGAGGAGGAGGAGGAGGAGGACAAGATCAAGAGGGGAGGGAGAGAAGGAGAGGAGAAAGAGTAGGAGGAGGAGGAGGAGGACGACGACGACGACGAGGAGGAGCAGGAGGAGGAGGAACGAGGAGGAGGAGGAGGAGGAGGAGGAGGAGGAGGAAGGAGGCAGAGGAGGATCAGAAGGAGCAGGAAGAAGCAGGGAACGAAATTAGGAAGGAGGGCGGGAAGGAGGGAGGGAAGGAGGAGGAGGGAGGGAAGGAGGGAGGGAGGAGGGCGGGCGGGCGGGAGGGAGGGGAGAGAGGAGGAAGAGGGAGGGAGGGAGGGAGAGAGGGAGGAGGAGGAGGAGGGGGCGGAGCAAGGAAAAGCAGGAAGACGAGGAGGAGGAGGAGGAGGAGGAGGAGGAGGAGACGGAAGAGGACGACGAGGAGAAGGAGAGCGGGCGCCTTCGTCACCGTCGCCACCCTCTTCGTCTTCATCGTCTTGGGGCAGGCTGGAGGAGGATGGAGGAGAGTGTGGGATGAGGAAGGAGGAGGAGGAGGGAGCCCAGACCCCTTCGAGTCATGAAACAAGACGGCGGCATGGTTTTGTTGGCCATTCTCCGCTTCTGGGGTTCCGTACCAGGCCCCAGGTCTTCAAATAACGATTCAGGATGAAACACAAGTCGGGGGAACATTGGTCGCGACTTCTGAGGGTCGGCGTCATGGCAAAAAAACATGACAGGAGCGCAGACCAAGGAGCAAAGAGGGAGGGAGGGAGGGAGAAGGGAGGGAGGGAGGGAGGGAGGAGGAGAAGGAGGAGGAGGAAGGAGGAAAGAGGAGGAGCAGGGAGGATTCAGCAGGAGGAGGCAGGAGGGAAGAAGCAGGACCCTCCCTGCGGCAAGAGTCGCCCGCTGAGGGCCGGGATGCATCGGCAGTGTTTTTTGTTGTTGCAACTGTTGGCCCGCGAGCCCACGAGTGCACAACCAGAGTGCTGGCTATGCACTCGTGGGCAGCCGGGCAGCCGGGCAGAAGTTCCATGCCCAAGTAATTTCTTATCGCCGCTGCAAAAAAACTACCACAACAACAACAACAACAACAACAACAACAACAACAACAACAACCACAACAACCACAACAACTACAATCATTGTAAGACTCTTCGCCCTTATCTGCTCGAGTGTCCAATAACGCGTATTTCCCAAACCCCCGATACCCGCCCTCTTCGTCTTCGATCGAACCCCTTTTGGGGGGTAGACCTTTCTTCCCTGCAGACCAGGCCCCGGCAAGCGGCGGGGCGGCCGCGGACCGTCGGCCTGGCCAGCGGCAGCGCTGATCGGCGGACCGTCGACCCAACCCCAAGAGGGACGGACAGGGGACCGACCACGACGACGACGACGACGACGACGACGACGACGACGACGACGACGACGACGTCGACGTCGACGACGACGACGACGACGTCGACGACGACGGCGACGACGACGACGACGGCGACGACGACGACGACGAGGCGAAAGCGAGAGCGAGAGAGAACGACAGCAGGGCCACAAGGACACGAAGTAGGCCACGAAGTGCGCGAACGAACGGGGGCCACGAAGGGCAGATAATGCGGGGTCACAGAAGGCAACGATGGGGCCACTGAGGGTCACAACTGGGCCACGTAGGACAGTAAGGGGGCCACAAACGGCGACAGCAGGGCCACGAAGGGAATGCACATGGGGCCACAACGGGCGCGAACGAGCGGGGGCCGCGAAGGGCATACGTATATTGGGCCGCGGAGGGCAAGGACGGGGCCACTGAGGGCAGCAACGAGGCCACGAAGGGCAGCGAGGGGGCCACGAAGGGCGACAGCGGGGCCACGAAGGGCATGCATGTGGGGCCACCACGGGCGCGAACGAGCGGGGGCCACGAAGGGCATACAGATATGAGGCCACGAAGGGCAGCGACGGGGCCACGAAGGGATGCAACGGGGCCACGAAGGGCAGCGAGGGGGCCACGAAGGGCTGCAACGGGGCCACGAAAGGCTACGACGGGGCCACGAAGTGCAGCGAGGGGGCCACGAAGGGTTGCAACGGGGCCACGAAACAAAGCGAGGGGGCCACGAGGGGCTGCAACGGGGCCACGAAGGGCAGCGAGGACGCCACGAGGGGCTGCAACGGGGCCATGCAGGGCAGCGAAGGGACCACGAAGGGGTGCAACGGGGCCACGAAGGGCAGCGAGATCCCGATTCCTAGGTCATCTGTGAGAGAGTCCTGAGCGTGAGCGCGACTCCTGGGTGCATGGGTGTCGGAACCGCGGCGCTTGAGTATATTGCAGGAAATTCCAACGCAAGGGCGCTATCCTTTAGTAAATTGCAAGCAAGTATGCAGCGAGAGCGCGACTCCTGAGCGCCAGGAGAGCGATTCCAGAATACATTGTAAGAAAGTCCCAAGCGAGAGCGTGATTCCTGAATAAAATGCGAGGAAGTCTCGGGCGGGAGCGAGGGTCCTGGCTAAATTGTGAGGGAATATCAGGCGGGAGCCGTTGTTGTTGTAACCCGGGGGCCAGGGGCCCAGTTTGAGCTTCAAGATTTTCCATGATAAATTACCACTGCGTGGAGCTCCCCATTTGCGCATCCTTTTTTGTACCCCCCCCCCCCCAAAAAAAAAAAAACTTGAATACTGGATTTGGGATAGTTCGTTGAGCGCCTGGCCGTATGAGCCACATGTGCATCTCATAGTGTAGGGTAGCGCGATGGTGAACATATGTCTATGATTTTTTGTTATAAGAGCGCGTCTACGTGAGCGACGAGCACACGCGCGCGCAGCTCGGCTGCACACCCAACACATGTATATGTTCATCCGCTAGCATATATAAGCGCATCTTTTCCAAACCCTGGAACGCCCCAAAAAAATGCGTTAGTTTCCCCTTACTACCAAACGCGAAGCACAGCTTCTCTCCCCTCCTCCTCTCGTATCCCTCAATCGCCCTACTCGTAGAGAAGGAGAACCTTTTCAACTTCTCATTTCAGTTCGAACGTCAGCGAGAAAGTGAACCTTTGCAAGTTCCCTTTTCCGCGGCTGAGGGTGAACCTTATCAAGTTCCCCCTGCAGTCCGACTACAAGAGGGAGAGTGAACTTTTTCAAGTTCCTTCTCCCCCGCCTGGAGAGTGAACCTTTTCACGTTCCCTCTCCAGTTCGAACGTACGCGACAAAGTGAACCTTTGCAAGTTCCCTTTCCCGCGGCTGAAGGGTGAACCTTTGCAAGTTCCCCCGTCAGTCCGACCACACGAGGGAGAGTGAACCTTTTCAAGGTCTCTCTCCCCCGCCTGGAGAGTGAACCTTTTCAAGCTCCCTCTCCAGTTCGACCGTCAGCGAGAAAGTGAACCTTTGCAAGTTCCCTTTCCCGCGGCTGAAGGGTGAACCTTATCAAGTTCCCCCTGCAGTCCGACTACAAGAGGGAGAGTGAACTTTTTCAAGTTCCTTCTCCCCCGCCTGGAGAGTGAACCTTTTCACGTTCCCTCTCCAGTTCGAACGTACGCGACAAAGTGAACCTTTGCAAGTTCCCTTTCCCGCGGCTGAAGGGTGAACCTTTGCAAGTTCCACCGTCAGTCCGACCACACGAGGGAGAGTGAACCTTTTCAAGTTCCCTGTCCCTGCCTGAAGAGTGAACCTTTGCAAGTTCCCTCTCCAGTTCGACCACAAGCGGGAAAGTGAACCTTTTCAAGTTCCCTCTCCCGCCCATTACCCAGGCACGGTGGCGGATGTGGCCGAATTCCTTTAGATAGGATCCCTTTCTGTGTTTCCCCTGATCGGAAGGTCCTTTCTGAGCCCCCAGAGCCGCCAGAAACAAACCCAAAACAATATGTCTACCGTCCCGGGGCCCTCCGGCGCGTCTCGTGACGGTGTTGCATCGCAAACTATATAGATATGCGCCAATGTTCAACGATTCAAGTCTTGTTCCGTCCCGGAGGGAAAAAATATCTTCCCAACCCCTGGAACGCCCCCCCAAAAAATTGCGTTAGTTTCCCCTTACTACCAAACACGAAGCACAGTTCCTCTCTCCTCCTCCTCTCGTATCCCTCAATCGTCCTACTCGCAGGGAGAGAGAACCTTTTCAAGTTCCTTCTCCAGTTCGAACGTCGGCGAGAAAGTGAACCTTTGCAAGTTCCCTATCCCGCGGCTGAATGGTGAACCTTTTTCAAGTTCCCGCCTCAGTCCGACTACAAGAAGGAGAGCGAACCTTTTCAAGTTCCCTCTCCCCTGCCTGGAGAGTGAACCTTTTCAAGTTCCCTCTCCAGTTCGAACGTCCGCGACAAAGTGGACCTTTGCAAGTTCCCTTTCCCGCGACTGAAGGTGAACCTTTGCAAGTTCCCCCGTCAGTCCGACCACACGAGGGAGAGTGAACCTTTTCAAGTTCCCTGTCCCTGCCTGGAGAGTGAACCTTTTCAAGTTCCCTCTCCAGTTCGACCACAAGCGGGAAAGTGAACCTTTGCAAGTTCCCTCTCCCGCAGCTAGAGAGTGAACCTTTTCAAGTTCCCTCCCCAGCCCAAAACGCACGCGGGAGAATGAACCTTCTCAAGTTCCCTCTCCCGCTGCTGGCGACAAGATTGGAAAGCACCACGGAGAGTGAAAGCAACATCCCACGGTGACACAAGCTCTGCGCCAGCAACAACTGTTCACTCCTCCTTGACCGCCGTACGCAACGGGGAGAGCCACTCGGGACACAACGCAAAAGCAGAAAACAGGCAAACCGCTAGAGACATCCCCACAGAACGGCGACGAACGGAGCCGTGAAAGCACCCTTGGCGGCTCCCCTTAGGCAGCTGAAACCAGCTCCCCGCCTGAGACATCCTCACAATCTGCTCTCCAAGCGAAGGATGTTAAGACAGAAAACAAGCAAACCGCTTGAGACATCCCCACAAAACTGCCGCGAACGGGGACCGTGTCATACCCCTCGGCGGCTCCCCTTAGGGGTCCTGAAACCAGCGCCCCGCCTGAGACATCCTCACAATCTGCTCTCTAAGCGAAGGATGTTGGGACAGAAAACAGGCAAACCGTTTGAGACATCCCCACAAAACGGCCGCGAACGGGACCGTGTCATGCCCCTTGGTGGCTCCCCTTAGGGGGTGTTGAAACCAGCGCCCCGCCTGAGACATCCTCACAATCTGCTGCTGTGTGTTGAGTAAGTCAGACAATGAGAAGGTCTGAGTATGAGTAAGTCTGGGTATGAGTGAGTCTAGGTATGAGGAGGAGGAGGAGGAGAAGACGAGGAAGGAGGAGTAGGAGGCGTCCAAGTAATAACAACAACTCCATCTTAGGATATGTGGAAAAACAGGGTGCGAGCGTCGAGGGGTACACTTTGATTGAGACAAACAGTATGCACCGGTGGGGGGGATCAACCATAATCATTCTTCAGAAATGAGAGTTCAACAACAACAACAGCAACAACAACAACAACAACAACAACGACAACGACAACGACAACGAAAACGAAAACGAAAACGACAACAACGACGACGACAACAACAAAGCAAACAACAACAAAATACAGTGGGAAAACACGAAAATAAACAACAACAACAACAACAACAACAACAACAACAACAACAACAACGACAACGACAACAACAACAACAACAACAACAACAACAACAACAACAACAACAACAACAACAACAAAACGAGTGCACAGCCAGAGTGCGTGCACGTCTTACCTTCAGGGGCCACGTCGCGCTCGCGACACCGCCGCGGCGCGTCGACCGGCGCGCGATATTTCTCCGAGGCCCGCCGTCGTGAGACGGCTACGGCGTAGTGAATACAAGTCACGGCCAGAGCCCTCGGCTCCGTCCTTCCGCCGCATCCTCCTCCTCCTCCTCCTCCTCCTCCTCCTCCTCCTCCTCCTCCTCCTCCTCCTTGACCGTGACCTTCTTCATGGACGCTCGCTCCTCCTCCTCCTCCTCCTCCTCCTCCTCCTCCTGCTCCGTCGTCGTCCGTCGTCGTCGGCGTCGGCGTCGTCGTCGTCGCCGTCGTCGTCGTCGTCGGCGTCGTCGTTGTCGGCGTCGTTGTCGTCGTCAGACCGTTCCGGAGCGCTCTGGAACGGCCGCGGCGCCCGATAATTACGTCCTTCAGAGCCGACGGGTCTCAGAGATTCTCGATGCATCCGCATCCGAATGGATGGTCACGGCTTGAGGACAGCGTGTCGCTCCGCCGGTTCTGGCCCACCACGCTTCGGCGCGACACGCTGTCCACGTGCGGGTCTCCGGGCATCGACGTCCCGAGCCTTTCCAAGCCTCCCGCCCCGCGGAGCGGAGCGACACGCTGTCCGCTCGCAGGGCATAGCGTGACGCTGGGGCCGCCGCCGCGACACGGTAAGCAAAAGTTCCTGACCGAATCTTCAAATAGCCATCGTCTTATCTCAGGGTCGCTTGTCTGCCCTGCCACGGCCTCTGCTTTGCCTCGGCCCCGCGCTGCGCAGATCGATGTCTTGCCGCCGCCTCACCCACAGCAAGGCCGACAGCCCTGCAGGGGCACTCGGGAGTTGGGCCGCCCGCGGCGCAGCACCTTGTCCGCGCCATCGTTCCTATATCTGCTCCGCCTTTGCCTCTGCCCTGCCCGCATCCGCACAGCCTCTGCCCATGCGCGCCTCTGGCGCCGCGCATGCCCCCGCCGCATCCCGTCCGTCCGCCTGCCAGCCCCTCGGCCTCTGCCTCTGCCGCACCTCTCCTCTCCGTCTGCCTGCCCACCCTGCCCCCTTGGGGGAGGATCGGAGGACTGGGGCTGATCCTCCTCCTCCTCCTCCTCCTCCTCCTCCTCCTCCTCCTCCTCCTCCTCCTTCCTCCTCCTCCTCCTCCTCCTCCTCCTCCTCCTCCTCCTCCTCCTCCTCCTCCTCCTCCTCCTCCTCCTCCTCCCCCTCCTCCTCCTCCCTCCCCCCTCCCCCTCCTCCCCCTCCTCTCCCCAGCTCCTCCTTCAGCCAGCGCGCCGCCCCCCCGAGGAAGTCGTCGGACCTGAGCCCCCCGAGGGGGCCGCCGGACCTCGTCGGCCTCCTGCCCTCGCGGGGCTCGGAGAGCGCCTCCTCCTCCCGCGCGGGCGCCTCGGCGGACCTCGCCTCCCTGGGCGCGGCGCCGCCCGGGGCCGCGCGCCTGCAGAGGAGGCCGCCCCGGGGCGGCGGGAGGGGCGTGGTTCCGAGACCCGCCGGCGCGCCCCGACTCGAGTCGGCAGGAACGGAGTGGGCACGGAAAGAATGGGTAGAAGGCCCAACAGCAGTGCTGGTTAGTTTTGGACAGGGCTCGCTGTCCG